TATAGATATTGATGTGTTGATGAGAGGTGACCAAAAAATTTATTTGATGCATGCCAACAGTGATTAATGTCCAAACAAAGAAAAGAAATTTGTTATTGTATAGAATAACAATATTCCCAAGAGCTTTAATGCAGGAAAGAAAAGAAAGCAAAGTTACCGTTCGAGTGCTATATGCCCAAGAGTTTTGCCAAACCATGGCCTTTCCACCCTTCTCATTTTCAAACTCTATGCCAAACATTTTAGCAAAATTTTGACCCAAACAATGCGAGGTAGCACCTTGTACACCGCGGCCAGTATTTGGAATAAAAGCCTGCAAGCATGAATTAATATATTCAAGCTCACCATAGAAGAGGCATAAGAGGTATGCTCAAAAAATTATGGATAAAGAAAATATCAATTACCTCCACACTTGTAGTGTAAAGGCCGCCAGCAAATTTCTCAAGCTCACTCTTCTTTCCCTTCACAACTGGAATTGCCAAATATTCCTCATATATCCTTTTGTATAATTCCAATATCTCAAGAACCTACAATCAAGATGAATAATCAAAAACTAACCTTCAAAAAAAGATCTTCAGCACAGTAGAAATGCAACTAACTCTTTATCCTAAAGAAAGTGGGATTGGCGATATGGGCATTGAAAGGGGAAACAGAAATTTGAGTGACTCCTTACCTCTTCATCTGCCTCTGCCTGTGTTGCAAAAGCTGTATGGCCTTCTTGCCAAAGAAACTCCCGACTCCTGAAATCATATGGATACATACAAATTTGAGGCAAAACCAAATTTAACATACTTGTCAAAAAGAGAGGTCAAGAAAATGGTCCTATGACATAGAGGACAATTAGCAACCCTGACTAAAGATGCAACAAAACATCAAGTAAGAACTAAACAACTTTAAATCTATGAGAACATATCGGAAGGAATAAAAAGGGTTAACTCATCTTGTCACTATCAATGCTACAAAACTAGTATATACAACACCAAAAGCAGGAAGACAATGGAACTACCTGATAAATGGAGTAGGATTGCTGAACTCCCATCGAACAACATTACACCATTGATTTAGCTTCAAAGGTAAGTCACGGTGTCCCCTGATCCACTTAGAGAAATAAGGATACATAACAGTCTCACTTGTTGGACGTATTGCTATTGGCACTTCCAATTCAGATTTTCCAGACTTTGTGACCCAAGCAACCTACTTAAGAAATAAAAGAATGAAAAAAGAGGTAGCATAAAACAAATAACATATACACATACTAAGGGGTGACTGGTGCGTAACACGACAGGCACAAATTGTCACAAAGTGACAAGTAAAAGTACATGTTTTTCATTATACAAAAAAACTCTATGAGTTAAAAACACCACGGCAAAAAAATTATAATTGCATGCTAGATACTAAAATAGAAGGCATGCCAAGGAGAGGAGAGAGTGAAATATAAAATAATATAAATAATAATCAACAACCAACTGAGCGTGTGCTTAGATGTGTATGTGCCTGTGTACGTGTACGTGTGTAACACAATAAATAAAGTCACTTAAACCATCATAGCAATAAAGTGTTATTTCTCACCTCTGGAGCAAAACCCTCTACATGATCCTTCTCTTTTTCCAGAACACCCGGGGAGACAAACAAAGGGAAATAGGTATTTTTCACCTTCATTTTCTTTATTTCTGCATCGAAGAATGCCTACAAATTAAGGAGTTGGACGTGAGCAATTTTGCTGGAATTATCATATCAATTTGCTAAAAGAACAGAGAAAATATGCAAGCATAAACTATGAAACTATTACATTGAAATCTGTTAAGTAGAGTTCATAGCTTTGATAGGTGCATATATAACAAGGTTGGCATCCTCAATCATATAAGTGCAAGATGAGATTATCTAAACTCAAGACAAGAGGGGGTATATTAAAAAGTACTACCAGGTTTAATATTGTTAAAAAGAATTCAGGCAAAATAGTCATCAACTGACAGGGAAAGATGACATCAATTGATACCATGCTAAAATGTCAAATTTAAATTGAAGTCTTAAGAACTATACAGGGAACATGTAATCAATATGCTGGAACCAGATGGTTGTTTCTAATAGCAAAGAAGAAACATTGACAACATGAAATTGAATAACTAAATAAGAAAAGGAAAGCTTACTTGCATCGTCTCCCATATTGACATCGTCCATGGCCTTAAAATATAACAACCAGAGATATCATAGTATTCAATCATCTCACTATGAACAACAACCTACATGGAATAAACAAGAGCCCATATATTACTTAGTGAAAGAAACTGCTGAACATAAACCAGAAAAGATAAAGACAGATACCTCAGAATACCACTCTCCAAAATTCTCATCCTTCTTCTTGGAAAGACCCAGGCCAGTTTCTTTCTTCACCTCCTTCTTTTTCCCTCCTAAAAATTAGAAAGAAATTCAAAGGTAAGCTAACAGCAACAAGAAAATCAAAGAAGAATCAGAAAATTGAGGGACAGGAGAGCAGAGCTCACCACCCTTGGTATTGGTGTTAGACTTCTTAGCACCGGCATCGGCCATGTTTGGATGTTTTCAACCTATATTAGACCATATACACCACAAAAATGACTATTATAACAATGGGCAGTACTATTAAACCATAAATTTACAAACATTGACAATTTTATCTATCACTCACAATTAGGCTCATACTCAGTTCTTTGTGCTAAAGAAACCCACAAAATCTAACATTTAAAGCAGACCCAGAAGAAAACAAAAGCCAACAGGGAAACCCAGACTCCATTTTGGAATAATTCGAGCTCGAAATCGAGAATGAAAAAAATGCAGAAGAAAATAGAAGAAGAACGGAATGAGAGAAAATAAACCCAGAAACATGAGAGCAAACAATCTGGGAAGGCTGAGTCTCTTACCAAAATTGAATCTTGTTGGTCGCGTTTGCGGCTCGCAGTTTTGGCTTCTCTCTTCTTCTCGCTCCTTAGCCTCCTCTTGTGAGAATAAAGAAAGAAAGAAGACAGCAGACTGGAAGACTTAGTAGTAGAGCAGGCTTGCCCTAAATGAAACTGCAAATAAATGAAGAATTTGTCCTGAGACCCTTGTGGGCTTCACCCCAGCCCAAACAAGCAACAAGCTTGGCCCCAAAGCTACCCAATTGACCAGTTTTCCTGTTTGTTTTTTTTCTTTCCCGGATAAGCTTGGCTCCCGATGTAGGATATGGGTGAATTAAGTATTTAGGTAATTTAGCGGAAGTGAAAACAATGATAAAACAGAAAGTAGATGATACGAATGTCTTGGCTTTACTCCAAAAAAAAAAAAAAAAAAAACTTTTCTCAATATCTCAACAACTAAATTGAATTTTAAAGTTGACCAAAAAAAAAAAATTGAATTTTAAATAAATACATGGGATATATAGCAAACTAAAGCATAGAGACAATAGGATAAAAATCCCTTGCTAAAAGATATGGTGTGTACCATGTACACATTAGGTATACCAAAATAAACCACAAAAGATATGTTGTGTTATTTTAATCAACATGGTCGAGGAGTGTAATTAATAAAATTCAAAGGGCAGAAAGAAAATGGTGCTGAATGATCTAAGAATTTTCATTATAAAAAGACGCAGATCGTTGAACTTGGAACATTCATAACACATGCAGTCATTGGAAGCAATCCGCGTTGAATGTCAACAAGAGAAATCATCTTTCTTAGTTTAACCCCGCGTGCAAATTAGCTGTATGATTCTCTTATTTTTATCCTTCTCTTTGACTAGAAAGTTAGCTGCATGATCTGCAATGGAAATTGGCCATTACACTTGGTGTCATGCAAATTGCAGTAATTGGAAAACATGTAGAGAGATGATGACAAAGTATAATATGTATTTACATTTATGCTAGTTTAAAAAACTAGGACTTTATAGGCATGCCAATACAAACTTAAGTCATAAGACATACAATGCTACACCAAATTCAAACCAATTCAATGTCAGATCCCTTCATTTGGAGATCAACAAAAAGCTGATCTAAGCTGCAGGAACAAGCCCCAAATCCTTATTGTCTTCCCCAATTAAATTAGCTACAATGAGGCTCACATCTTCCAGGCCAACTCCAATGTATAAAGGATTGGTTGGAATCCTGACCGAATCATCTGTTCCTTCGGATTGAATCCCACCTACGGTGTTCGAAACCCTAATGTTAGGACCATTTTTGCATTTTCCCATACACTTGCACCCAACAACAGTTCCTTCAACACCCATCACCCTCTCAAACTCTTCCAGCAATGCGCCACCTCCTGATTTCTTGCACTTGTTGCCCATGCACACCTCAATCTTCAGGGCAGATGCTGCTCCCATAACTGAGCTACTAAGAGCATCATTATGGCCAATACTACCACTACTGCTGACACAACTTGAACTAGTTCCTGAGCGGCATTCTGCTTCCTGATTCTGTGAAATGCTAAATTCAGTGACATTTTCTACTGTGGTGTTCTCTTGGTGGGTGGCTATGGCTAATGAACTCGGTAGGGTCAACACCGCCCCTTCTTGATGATTAAATGGCTGCAAACTGTCTAGTATTGGTTTCGCAGGGGCTTCGCTTCTCAGGCGGTTCATGTCAACCAACTCCCCACATTCACTTTCACTTGATTCAGATGATGATGAAGAAGATGATTCACTGTTAACCATGTTTTTCATCCGTTCAGCTTTAAGCATGGCCTTCTCTTCTTTCCTCTTTCTCTTTAATTCCTTCTCCTCTGCTCTTAGCTGCTCCAATTGTTTTAGTAATAATGCCTCTGCACCTTCCTGCATACACAGCAAACTTACACATTTAATATCCATGATTTCGAATAATAATCAATACCCAAAATCCAATTTTCAAGGAAATCAAAACATATCTACCTCATTCTTTATAAAAGAACCCTGATTCTTATAAACACACACACAAAATACAGAATTTTATCCTACATATCACCAGCCCAAGTACATAATAATAGATTTGGTCCAAACTATGTTTGTTCTCAAATTCAAAAGGGAACCAAAAAAGCCTACCATTAAAATGTAAAATTGAAAAATTGAAGACAGAAAGATGGATTTTTAACCATAGAAACCACTTATCACCAAGAACAGAGATGAGGTGAAGTTAATCAGAAACATACCGAGATCAGCTTCCCCTGAAATTGAGCGACTAAACCCTCCTGAGAATCTAACGGTCCAAAACCCATCTGAGAAGACGCGGACAAGTCCTTGGACAACCCTTTGAGCAACTTCAGCTTCTTCTTGATCTCCTTCTCCTTCTTACAACCACATCTGGGACCCACGTGATAATACTGCACATGCCCGTCATCACAAAATCCATAATTCGATTGCCCACGAAACCTGCTAGTTCTCAAAGACACTCCAAAATCTTTACGACCCTGAACCCGAAACTCTCCATGAAACGACGCCGTAGAAGACCGAGTGGTATCGATTCCAGCGCCGGAAAAGCAAGGTACTTGCCGGGAAACGACGCCGGAAACTTCCATGGCTTTTTTGTAACGCTGAAACTTGGAAACTCAAAACCCTAAACCCACAAAACGCAGCGAATAGCAATAGCAGATTAATGGCTTCAGAGATCGTCGTCTCAAATCCTAAAGATCGAAGCTTTTTTATCGAAGGAAGCTAGAAGGTGGCTGGAAAATTGATTGAACACGCGGGCGTTTTAGATTGGCGGGTAGTGAGGTGGAGGCGGCGCGTGCTGGGCGCCTGCAAGCTTGTGACCGTGTTCGGTTGTCCACACGAATTGAGTAAAGCCTTCACCCTTCGATGGATTGGACGGTGGAGATTAAGCCAAGTGGTGCCACATGTGCTGCCAAGTAGGCATGTATTTTTCCTTTTTCTTCTGTAAAATCCTTTTGAACTTAATTAATTAAAAAATAATCCCATAAATAATAATTATTTTTCTTTCTACCTAGAGTCAATATGTGCATGACAACTTCATATTGGACTCACATAATTTCTTCTCTTTTTTCTAAAAAAGAAAAAGAAAAAGAAAAATATTTTCTAATAGTTATATATAAACAAGTCCTTTTATTTTATTTTAACTTCATAGTTATAAAAAAACTATTTAAAAATCTGACCAAAAAAAGAAGAAAAAAAAGTATATTTGTAAAAATCATTCAACTGTGCTTTTTATTTATAACTTCACAGCCTATTTGATAAGGCAACCAGCCCAAAAATAAGAAATAAACTATTTGGTAGAAGCAAAATCACAATGAGTCAATGACGCAGAAGCCACATAAACATAATACAGATTTTCAACCACCAGAATCAGAATCAATCTCATGCAGCTAATTAGCAAAAACAGCAAGAAATTTCCATGGACACCAAACATTCTTGGGGACGGTAGTTCAGCCTGTGCAATGTACAACCAAGTTTCAAAATACGAGTGCTAAATTTATAGATCTCTTTACAGAACAAAAAAGGTAAAATAAAGCCACAGGCAGTTGAGCTGGGATCTTATCACAAAAGAAGATTAAATACAGTGAACATTGTTTAATATTATACACAAAAAGCAGAAAGTATAATCAGTAAGAGATCTTTTACAGCAACTGTTACCATAGTCAGTTGATCATAGTAGGAGCTTTGATTGGTGAAGAGTCCATGTCCATGCCATCAGTAGTCGGCCTGGAAAGCTGGTTTTAGGTAGCCTCTGAGTGATGCAACATTCTTGGTGGAGATTTCATTCACTTCTCAATGCTTCACAAAACTGGATTTTGAACCTTTTGCAGTCAGATTATTCGACTTCTGTTTGGAGCTGGGGTTCTTGTAAACCTCATAAAAATACAATGAAGAAAATGCTTAACTTTCTTATAAACTTATAACCGGCGGCAGGAAGTCTCTCATTGCAGCTTATTAGGAAGATGCTATGCCTGCCAACAGCTCTTGAGAACCTCCCAAGTGTCCCGGTACTCGCTGTCTTATTTCTTCAAAAGCACATAATGTTTCAGAGTCCAGACCTCCAGCAAACTGCAGAGTTCCACAATGTAGGCAGCTCAGAGGACAGATATAAAAAGGGGTATTAAGGGCACATGACATAATATCAAGAAGAAAGTCAACAATTGCATTCCATATGTAATTCATCATATGAAGTCAGCTTCTAAAATTTTATAAGCTTGAAGATCTTATGAAGTTGGTTTGTTAAAAGGTTGCCTTATCCCATGATAAGGGGTCTGTCTTGTAGTGAAAAGAAAGATTGGAACAGAAAAAAGGGAAAACAAATCCAGTTGCAGCAACTTCGTTGTTACTCCCAGGCAAGAAATCCGATTAGACAGGGAACCTAAGATGTCTACATAACAACAGAAAATTAGACAGGGTACCCAAGCCATTTTATCCAAACCACCCAGAAAAATGCCGCACGTGATGAAACATAGTCCCCCAAATCCATCATATGTCCAGTCTCCATTAACCTACTATGAGGTCATAAACTGAGATACTGCACAGCAAAGAAATGAGTTTCTCCTTTTTATCATTCTTGGTCACTGTTCAGCTTCTCATAATAAAGAGGGTGGGTGGATTCATATTAGAGGGAAAAAAAACACTTGAAAGTGTGAGTTAAACATTTACTGCTCCAAAATTGAAACAATAGCCCCTATGACATTCAGTGCAACCCGACTTGATTGCCCTTATTTTCTCTCAAATGGATTCATTAGGCTCCTTGTTAGGTGATCCTATCCATACCATAACTATGAACAAACATAGAAATTGCTGACTCAAGGATTACCTGGTGAGCCCTATATACAAAATGCACGCCCTGAAGCAGAAGAGATTCTTGACTTGTTTCTCTATCTGAATTCTGAATGGATTCAAGCTCCATTGTCACCCTCTTCATGTAAACATTAGCCAGATTCATGGAAGCCTTCTTTATCTACACAATTTGGGACAATATAAACATAAGGATATTCCTCAATAGCCACTAAATAATGATGTACACAAGGCTTTAAAATAATTCCTGACATCAGATTACAGACAATGAGATAGAACAAAGCCACTAAATACAGCAGGAGATATGCTGATATAATCTACCAAAAATGTGAAGATACTTTAAAAGGTTTCTGCCATGCTGAAATCTGTATTTTTCAGATTAAACTGCATAATTTCATTATCACCATCAATATATTAGAGAATGCACATAAAGAAGCATACCTTACTCACAATCCCAGAATCAAGCATCCAATCAATTGGAATTTTCAATTCCTGATAAGAACGCATAACTGAGTTTCTTAACTTAATTAGCCTTTGTATACTTCGCTCCGACCTTAGACAATGAGATGAGAGAGAGCAATATTAACATGCTGGGCCTAGAAATACTTTTAACGAATATAGAAGATAATTTACATAGTTCTTACTTGTCTAATAAGCCAGCCATCTTCTTCAAGGCAGCTGCACATGGAATGTCAGTGTCATCCTTAAAAGAAGAAATCTCGCTTTGCAACAGTTTAAGGTCACGATATTCAATTGCAGCTTCTCGCATGGCATCAGCTTTCCTCTCAGGCCACTTAAAATGCTTTAAGACAGCCCGTTCATCAGCCTGTAGAAGGCATGAAAATGTTAGACTTATCCACCCATTTATGTATCTGACTCTCTGAACCACTTAAGCTTCTTACATTACAATCTAGTAGGGGTGCCCAGTTCCAAAACTTTCCAAAGCAGAAGCCAATGGAAGATTAACATTTTCAAGTACCTAAATGGCCTAAAGTAATGCAAGATAAGCTGAATTGCAATCAGAGATACCACTCGACCATCTTAGGCAGGCTAATAGATTACAAATATTTACAACCCCCTGTTTGTTATATGTTTGGCTTGCAATTCTCTCCATAAAATATATCCTACAGTTGCGATTGATTTTAGAAAATATTGGCTTCTGCTTATGGAATGGTACAGAGAATATGATACTTCTTTGATTTGGTAAAATTAAAGATAGTTGGGCGTTAGAAAGTACCAAGGATGAGAGTTCCCCATCAAGCCAATCCACAAATTTTAGGACATCTTCTATATCAGTATATGCTGCAACCAGCACCTTCTGGATAAGGTCATTGATGAACTCTCCTTTTGTTTGAACATCTGCTTTTATCTGGAAAGAATTGTCATTAGATAATGATTTACACTTCAAGCTGAGGCAGCAGAAACAAAAGAAGCAATAAGGTATCAAATAAAAGCTTACAGCTAACAGATGTGCTGAACGGTTTTGAATCTCTCCAACTATGCTATTATGTGCACTAATAGCTGATGGTTTATGATTGTTTCTAGATTCTGGAGAGTCCCTCTTCACCTCTTGCTTTCTTAATGAGTGATAAAATTCTACAGGGGATGGAGCCTTCTGAGTGGCACTGGTAGTTGTTCTCACTGAGGGCTGAGGTGGAGGTGGTGGTGGGGTCGGGGATCGAACTGAAGGTGGCGGTGGGGGCGGAGGTGGTGGCCCAGATTGGGTGGCTGCAACTCTAGGAATTGCACCAGTTGGTGCTGGAGCTGGTGTTTTATTTGCACTTTTTTCTTTGACTGCCTCTTTCTTTACTACTGGGCGTTCTAATTTGTTGGCAATGAGTTTCTGAAGGTCTTTAAATTTAGGGCTCTGGTACTCTCCATTTGTCTCCCGCTACATCAGGCAAAACAGAAATTATATCAAAACTACAGATAATTAAGACTACACGTCAGAACAACCAAATTGAATTTTCTGCCAGAAACAGATACAAAATCTTAAAAGCGCAAAACCCACAATCAAATATTAAGAACAAAATCAATAACTGCAGTGAATAAACATTGCAACCAATAAAGGCACTACGTTTTCATGGAAAACAATCACAGACCCATGAAAGTTCGTGTCTTTACCTGTTCACGAGTGGTAAAAGCTGCTATCTTTGCTTCAGCAGCAGCAAGTTTCTCAGTGAGGTTTTTGTTCTGTGACTGCAGCTCCACGTTCAAGCCCTGAGCCTTATCCAATTCTGCCTTCAAGGCCAACACCTCAGCCTGCAAATTCATGATCAAACTCTCACTCATGTAAAATTTTTCCTGCAATTCTCTGTTTTTCTCATGTGGGTCTTCTTCATTTCTCTTGGAATTAGGATCTGCAGGCCTCTGCGGCCTTGGCCTTGCAAATTGCTCAGCAACCTGGCGATTTCCAGGCCTACCCACAGCTTTAGTCTCTTCAAGTTCCTTACTTTTCTGAGATCCCAACACCAACTCTCCAGATTTAGGCTTGTTGAGCAAAAGAGACCTCCTAATGCTCCTGGAATTGTCACAATTCACATCTGGGGAGACTGACTTTGCTCTTGATGGCCTTGGACTTGGAGACTCCTTTGCTTTGGAAGAAGCTGAAGCTCTGAGATAAGATGGTGGTGTTGGCTGTGACATATTACCAGAAACTTTGCTTTCACTCTTTGTTGAAGATGGTGGCGTCCCTTGCTTCATGCTTATGGCCTAAAGGTATTGTCTTCTCGAAGCAACCTGCAACTGCAACAACAAAACAATGGAACAAAGTTGATTTAGGAGCTTCTGTTAGATTCTGTACTGCAATGTTGGTGCATGGGTGCTTATGGGGCCTGCACTCGGCAGTTGACTTACCTACTTTATACATCAACTTTCATCAATGGCTCTCAAGAACCCACAACAGGCATCCCTCATTGACCACACCAAATCGAGAAAAAGAACCACTTATCTTGGCCACCTTTCAATCTCCAGCAAATTAGCAACAAACCCAATAGAGAGTTCGCGACCTTTGAGCCTGTGGAAAGTCTGAGGTGCTGAGAACACAAGTATAACATTCCATTTTGTGATTGTGTTTTTATCAGTTTCTGTGCACATAATGAATTTTCAGTTAGAATTTGTGTTTAATGCATTTTTAATTCTTGGTTATTTAATGATGACATAAAACAGACTCCACATCACCTAACACGCTTAATGGTGAATTAAATTCAATCCCAGAATTTTAAATTTTGTAAGGAAGAAACATCCTTTGGGGTTTTATGACCCATTAAGTATTCATGAAATTTGAAAGGAATCTAAATACTCTTGTCCTTAACGATAAAATAAAAAATAAAAAAATAAGAACCGTTTAAATTCTCTCTTTTAATAGCTAAAAAACAATGATAAACCTTTTTCGTGGCCCATTTAGATTTTTTTTTGTCAAATTCTCTTTCATTTTTTCCTACGGCCAACCGGTCTAGCTCAATAAAAAAAAAATCTTGACTTGTCAGTGCTCTCATATTTGAACTCCCATAACACCTTGATAGTGTGTGTGAGAAAACCCTCGTTCCCTCTCTAACTTTTACAAAAACAAATAGAAACGTTTTAGCGTCTTATAATATTTGCTATCGTACTTGATGGGCTCATCATGCTGAGGTTGTCGTACCGCATATAATAAGAGATGTGGTCCGTGACATATAGGGACAAGCACACATTTATATACTCATATGAGAGTCAAGACCCATGAGAATGATTGGAAGATATGGATGAATGCAGAAAAGGAATTCTTTTTCAAAATCAAAATATATTTATATTCAATCCAACGGTGGTTTCTTAATGCGTAAAGACCAATCATAATTCACTCATAAATGGAGAATTTTAATGCATTCAAGTTGTCTTCTAAGCTCAAACTGCCCCCCTCTCCAAATGGTTGGTTGCAAGTCACAATTATGGGCCATTCAACTAATCTCCACATACCCTAATTATTAATCCAATTGGCTTAATTAATTATATAGGGTTTAGTGCATGTTTGGTTTTATGGAATTTGTTTTTTGGAAAACATTTGAGTTTTCAAATGAGTTGTGTTGTGTTTATTTAGTGTTCTCTTTGTGATACTGGTTACTCTTCAACCAATCAAGATGTGTTTGTCCTCTCAAGGAAACTGGAAAGAAACAGTCTTGGCTTCGTATGGTCACATTTCCATTTGTTTGTGCAAGAAAAGGAAATGCAACAGGAAGTGTAGTTTTTGTTGGGGTCCATATTCTTTATATTCCTCAATGTCAAAATCAGTATTGGGACGGCTGAATTATTACATACTCTGTCTTATCTCACAAGGGAAGAAAAAAAAAAATCATATTTACCAAAACAATACTTAGATTTTGGCCATGGAAATAAGAAAAAGATGATTGTGATTATTTGTGGCTACTAGGCTTTGAGTAGAAATTAAATTAGCTAGCAATTGTCAAATTGATATTATGGTAAGATGGGAGCATGCAAAGGATTATTTATCAAAAAAGATAGAATCACTAACTATTGGTCGATTTATCAACTAACTCTTAGTTTAATTACACTTTTTTTTCCATCATTGAAAAATATCCCAAATTCAAATCTTCCGCTGAAAGACACAATAAGAAGTTGATCACTATCTATGAGAATCCTCGGTAATTTCTGAATTAAATATTGGGCTAGAGTAAATATATTCCAGACCCAAAAAAGTAAGATAGGAACATCTAAAGACTAGCTAAGACTATTGTTAAATAGTTAACATGATCTAATCCAGTGAAAAAAAGGCTTTGATTTGCAGACTAGAGGTCTCAAGTTCAAATTCCCGAGACATAATAGTTGTGTGTATGTGTGTGTGAGAAATTCCCTTTTTCTATAGTTTAGATTATCGTTTATACAAAAAAAACTATTGTTAAATATTGTCAAAGCAACAAAAGTATAGTTGCAGCTTCCAAATCCGACCACATATATTATACACGGATCAGAAAAGTAAGATGAACCCACGGATTAGAAAATATAGTGCTGCATAAAAAGACACGAAAAGCAAAAGCACTAGTTGATTGAGAAAGCTAAAAGTCATCAGCAGCAACATACCTTACTTAACCCTCAAATCAGATGAAAATCAAAGTTCTACTCTTTCTCCTTGTGCCTGCTTTTCCTCCGTCATAGTACGTGGAATCCATCTGCTGCTCTACATACACAAAATGAAAGTTTCTCTGTGTTCTGCCAGCCCTGCAACTGAGTGAAATGAAAAGCCTTTCAACTATTAACATATATAACAAACAGAGGTTTCAAGTTCCAAGGTGACCCCATGTGAAAATTAGGTCTGCATGGCTTTCCAGTTTTGATGTTTAGAGGGACCACGCAAATGGGAAAAAGGGCAGAAAAGAAAAAATAATGGCAACCAAAGTGAATAGGTAGACTTGAAAATTTTCCCATTAGAAAGATATGTGTACAAAATTACAAAAGCAAAACACTAAATACGTAGCTCACCCGTGAAACTTTTTGAATGAACTATATATATATACATGCAATGCAATGCTGCATGTGACGGTGAGTAATTGTGAGTCTGTTTGAGACTGTGACTTGTTCTTCTGCATGCGCTGAATTTCAAAGCCACCGCAGACTCAAGCTATAGCTTAAAGAAATTGCTTGGTGTATGCATGATGCCCAATTGCCTTAATTTAGCTCATGCTTTTGTCTCATATTCTCCAAATTATGGACCACCTTAACATGGCTGATAGCCCCTTACATTGGTTTCAATCTTCACTTGGGCATTGTCAAATTTCAAATTTGCAAAAAGGGTAGCTAGCTAAGATGGAGAAGATTTCGGCTAATGAAACTCCGGTATTTGGTTATCTGAAAAAACTTTTAGCCATTATAAAAATACTGTACGGAAACAGGCCCATAGAATGCATAGGTTAATAGGCAAATCTTAGAGAACATACATGAAATGCAGATTGCAGAAGAAAAGTACCTGAAGGCTGAAGATCAACAAGCCAGAAAGCAAAATGGGGGGATGGGATTCCCTTTGAAGGATTTAAAACTTGGAAAGTTGTATATACAAGTTAATAAGATACAATAGTAGTATGGCCAATTGGTTGGTCAGTTGCAACTTTACATCACATGATGTCTCATTTGTTGTTTTGATTGTGACATATATTGTCTCTAATTGATGTTTATTGAAACGATCACGTGAGTAATTAATCAAATTCCTTAATCAATGCTTAATTAATGCTTGAATTTACACTAAAGAGATTAACATTGTTGACAATCTAATCGCACAACATGTCATCGAAGAAAAGAAAACTACCCACAATTTGCAACTTTACCTCACATGATGTCTCATTTGTTGTTTTGATTGTGACATATATTGTCTCTTATTGATGTTGATTGAAACTATCTAATTCACGTGAGTAATTAATCAAATTCTTTAATCAATGCTTAAATTTACATTGGAGAAGTTAACATTGTCGATAGTCTAACTGCATAACATGTCATCGAACAAAAGAAAACTACCCACAATTTAGTACTACTTGCAAATTTAACATTACAGGGTCCCAAATCACAAAATATGTCCAAAAGATTTTTGGGTTTTCTCAATGATTGAATTAAGAGGCCCGGGTCCACTTTCTTCAACAAATCTTTCACTGTGGTGTTAGATAAACTCAAGCTTAGGTCTCATATGTTTGAGATATTGGGTCATGTTGTATATGGGAGGGAAGGTCATTTGACTCTAGCAAATGTTACCGCATTGAAATGAGCCCATAAAGTGGTTGATTGGTGATCATGAAACCTAAAATATAGACGGTTCGGATTATGAAAATACAATGTGAATAAGCCCCACAAAAGTATCCCTCAAATAATCTAATTTTGATCACCTTATTCCTCTCCTCTTCGTTCCCCGTTGAGTTTTTCCAACTACACACGAGTGTCTATGAAAATAGGAGGCTTTGGTCCCAATTGTTGATGCTTGAAAAGAGAAGCTGGGATTTTTTTAGTACACAAGCAGAGTATGAGATAGGTGGCGGGTCAGATCAGAGGTCAGATGTCAATGGCAGTCTCAGTCACCACCGGGGCACTAATATGTGCATGATCAATTCAATAAGTAGATGTAGAAGTAGAACCACCACTCTAGAGCTAAAATAAAAATGCTTAATGTTATGGGGTTTTGTATGAGCTTGCAAAAAAGTGGGCTTGACTTGTTTGTATGATTATGGAGTAAAGTTTGGTCCACTTTTTGTTGTTTTGTGAATGGAGAAGTTGGGTTGTTGAGGGGCCACTTCAGATGTCAAAGGCCCCAACCCCTTCAATCATTGAAAATATTAAAACACAAGAAATTGAATGAGCCCTCAATCAATCAACTTATAGTCTTATGGTATGTATTACAGCTAGGACTAATAATAATATATTGTTATTCAAGCTAATAAACCATAAATACCATAAATAATTATAATGAGTTTTCACTCATTAGTGTTGTGTTGCTCTCCAATTGAAGCTTTCAAGAAAGAAAGAAAAAAAATGCCTCTTGGTAATTTACCCTCTCTGCATAAAAATATATTACATTACATATTCTTTTTCCTTTTGATAAAAAGAAGATAAAAACTCTCTAAGATGAGGCACTTGCATGCAATGCTACCAAAGAAGCATAAATGCCATCCTTGATACTGATCAAAGTTTCATGCTTTCCTTTCTCTGTAATGACTCCATTTTTCACCATTGCGATTACATCTGCACCCTTAATCGTGGATAACCGATGGGCAACCACGACTGTGGTTCGATCCACCATGATTCGGTCCAATGCATCTTGAACCACTCGTTCAGATTCAGCATCAAGAGCACTTGTGGCTTCATCTAGCAGTAGTATCTTTGGTGCCTTCATTATAGCTCGTGCAATTGCCACCCTTTGCTTCTGTCCACCAGACATTTGAATACCCCGCTCCCCTACTACTGTATCATAACCCTGCATTGTTTTCCAAAATTAACATGGTTAATCTTCAACCTTCCGAATATAATTTTGTGAATTTTCATCAATGAGTCCTCCTCATTTATGCAACACCATGGCAATAGATTATTTTATAGTATTTGTGGCCAAAAAGAAATTGGCAAACTTGTTAATTCTGCAGTGCCTACCTGTTGTAAACTACTAATGAACTTGTGAGCATTGGCCAATTCTGCTGCAGCTATAATTTCAGTCTCTGTTGCATTCCCTTCCTTTCCATATGCAATGTTGGCTCGGATAGTGTCATTAAACAACACAGGCTCCTGGCTCACCAGTCCCATTTGCTGTCTCAACCACTTCAACTGTAGCTTTTGGATTTCAATTCCGTCTAATGTAATGTGACCGGAATCAGGTTCATAAAATCTCTGCAACAAAGATACAACTGTCGATTTCCCACTTCCACTTTCTCCAACCAAAGCAACTGTCTGATAACATATTTCACATTGTAAGTCCAAGGAACTTGAATTAGACTACTCAGGTCCAAAATTTTATGCATAGATTGAAATGACTAAAAGGACAAAACATGTCTAGTTACCTCGCCGTGATGAATAGTCAAGCAAAGATCCTGGAAGATTGGCACGTCAGGTCTAGTTGGATACTTGAAACTGACATGGCGAAGTTCAATTTCTCCCTTCACATTTTCTATAGTTGTTCCAGATTCATCACTGGAGTCTATTTTCGATTTCCGGTCAAGAATTGCAAATATGGAAGAAGCAGAGCTCTTTCCTTTACTTAAATCAGGGGCGAGGGAACCTGACTGAGACACTCCGACAGCTGTCATCGTGAGAGCAAAGAAAACCTGCAAACCAGGAAAGCAAAATGTTAGCAATGGCCTCAATGGACTAGTTAAGATTTAATTCTTAAGTAACAACTACTTATTTAGCAGAGTTCGGAGCCTCTGCTTATGTTTTCTCTTCTATTTACTTAAAGACTTGTAGTGCAAGGAAAAAAAACTAACCCGGAAAACATCAGAGAATGTTGTTTTGCCTGCTGCAACAAGTCGGGCTCCAGCATAAAAACTGCAGGCATACACAGAAAAGAGAAAAAAGAATGATAGCCCAAAACCAATCCCACTGATTAACCCTTGTCTTATCCCTGTCTTAATAGGGCCTTCGCATTTCTTCTGGTACAATTCAATCACCTTCTCTTCAGCACAAAAGGAAGCAATTGTTCTAATACTCCCCACTGCATCATTGGCTACTTGACTTGCATCCTCGTACATTTTCTGCAACCATTTAAAATTTATAGCATTGACAAAAAGGAATGGTCTTATATATATATATATATATATATATTATGCATGTGAGATTGGATGATGTTTTGGCTGCACCAGCTACAAGTTCTATACATACATTATGTATATATATTATCTTCCTTTTTTCTTTTTTGTTATTGCAAAGTTTGGACTTTGGAGAAATACCTTTGCATCTGCACTGAATCCTTTCATGAACTTGACTTGAAAATAACCATTTACTCCTAATAGAGGCAGCAGAACAAGGATTATAAGAGCGAGTTGCCAATTTGCTACAAAAGCAATGCACAACCCAGCAATTGCAGTTGCTAAATTCTGAACCAGCAAACCTAGAGCATCTCCAACAAGACCACGCAGAGAAGCTGCATCTACAGAAAGCCTTGCACCAATTGCACCACTTGAGTGCTCAGGATCGTCAAACCAACTTACTTCCATATAAACCACCTTCTCAAAGCACATTGACCGGACTCGTTTTATTAACTTACACCCGGCCACAGAAAAAAGGTATTGTCTTGATGGCTGTGCTATGAAAGATCCCACTCCAAGAACAAGAAAGATTAATGCCCAAAACTTCGAATCCTTACGGAGTTGATGAGGTGGCTCAAAGAAGGTCTTGATAATACTGGATATCATTATCCCAAAAATAGGTAAGATCACCCCATTGGCTGCTGCAGCTATAGTACCTAGTAATAATACTGGGATCTCTGGCTTGTTCAGATAAGCCAGGCGGCTAAGTGAGACTTCTGGAGGCACTGTTGATGATGTTGAAGCAGGAATATCAGGCTCTGCAGATGCAGTTTCAAGGACACCTATGGGTACACCATATGAGTTCGAGAAGGAATGACGACTACTATTTCCTCTTCCAGATGATCCCCGGCTTATGGATCGTAAGTTTGAAAATCTTTGACTTGAGTGTCTTTGAGAATCCACACTGCTAAGCCTTTCGTGATCATTTACAGCACTCTGTTCTAACACGGTGCTCATTTCTTGCAACCTTATAAGTTGGCTATATGCTCCTTCAGGGTCCTTAATTAGCTCAGAATGTGGACCTGCTCAGTTGAAAACGATCAGTATGTGCAACACTCATGGACTAAGAATATGTTGAACTATAGACAATAAGATTTGGCCCTCAAATGGTAGAACAGGACAACATAAACAAATGCATCACCTTTTTCAACAATTATTCCTCGATGTATAACAGCTATGGTGTCAGCATTCCTTACTGTGCTCAGGCGGTGGGCTACAATGACAGTAGTCCGGTTGATCATAATTCTGTCCAGTGCTTCCTGCACAATTCTCTCAGATTCTGCATCAAGAGCACTCGTGGCTTCATCTAAAAGTAGAATCCTTGGGTCCTTGAGAATTGCCCTAGCTATAGCAACTCTCTGCTTTTGGCCCCCAGATAGCTGAGTTCCATGCTCACCAACCATTGTGTCTAGTCCCTAAATGCATACGTCACAAAACCACAAATTAGAAAAAAGGAATTGAATGAATCCAGTTATGTTAAATTAATTATTGAAATAATCCAACGTTTTTAGAAAATTCTTGTAATATGTCTCTATTTCCATCTTTGAATGTAACAAAATGGTCGTCAAAATTAAAAATTCACACAAAAGTTTAAATGAATTAACCTGAGGCAATTTGTCTATGAATTTAGCAGCATTGGCAAGCTCGGCAGCAGCCCTTATTTCTTCAGTGGTTGCACCATCCTTCCCATATGCTATATTATCTTTAATGCTAGAGGTAAATAAAACGGGTTCCTGGCTGACTAGGCCTATTTTCTGTCTGATCCATTTCAGCTGGAACTCTTTGAGATTTATGCCATCAATAAGAACTTCGCCAGCTTGGGGGTCATAAAATCTCTCAATCAAACTGATTACAGTTGATTTACCACTTCCACTCTCTCCAACCAAAGCAGCAGTTGAACCACTAGGTATTGAGAGAGAAAATCCATGGAATATTTGTTCATCCGGTCTTGCAGGATAACTAAAACAAACATCCTTTAGTTCTATGTCTCCACGGATATCATGTAATTGTTGCCCATTAGTGTCATAAGCATCAATCTCTGGCTTTCTGTTAATTGTCTCAAACATCTTATAAGCTGCAGCTTGTCCAGCTGCAAAGGCACTCATGCATGGGGATGCCTGCCCAAGAGACCTGAAATTTTATGAAAGAAACATTATTATATCTTGATGTTCTGAAGCATCAAATATCAAATTTTGGACTGATGGGGGGAGGGGGAGTAGTAAGTAGATTTTGAATATCCCATTCTTTCAGCGCACGCAAAACATGTTAACTAGTACAATAGTGTTAGGATCAATAAATTTGTTAATTAAATTTTACCGAAATGCAACTTACATGGAGCCAGTCAACACAGCGAAAACTACATTCATGACTTCTCCTCCTGTATATCCTTTTTCAAGTATCATCTTTGCGCCAAACCATACAGCCAAAGCATAACTACACATTATAATAAGCATGACCGAACCAATACCGAACCCAGATGCCAAACCCTCTTGCACACCAGAGTTGTAAGCTTTAATTAAGGAGTTGTTGTAATTAGCTATAGCTTGCTTTTCTCCTGTAAAAGATGCAACCTGAATTGGGAACGCACATCCGATTTAGTTCTACACAAAGAAAATAGAAGTAATAAATTTTTGTTTTAAAGATTTTAAAGAAAAGTAGGCCTACTGTTCTGATTGACCCTATGGTCTGCTCTACCACAGTTGCTGCCACTGCATAAGCAGTTTGTTGACGGGATGCGACCTTTGAAATAATGATGCCTATGATGGCACCAGAGAGGACAAGAAGGGGAATAGAAGATAGCATGACAAGGGTGAGAAGCCATCCCTTAATAAATGCTATAACAAAGCCTCCTACGAATGTTGCAATTAACTGGATAAAACTTCCTACCTGCAATAAGAAAATGAAAGAAATAAGAGGTTACTGGAGAAAATAGCAACAGGTAAAGGCTTTTGTGTGTGGCATGTAAATACCTTCTCGCCCATGGCCTCTTGAATGAGCACAGTATCACCTGACATCCTCCCAACAAATTCCCCAGTGTTAGTTTCTTTATCAAAAAAGCCAACATCTTGCCTCAATATTGTTTTCAAGTATAAACTTCTTATTCGAGCAGCCTGTCTCTCTCCAGTGACCATCCAGCAAGACATCTCTGGCAAAGCTAATCATCTCAGTTTCCGAAAAGCCAAATTATTTGTTTGATGCACCAGCAGGGAGTTCAGTGTACTTACGTAGAAATGAAGCTGAAGCCGCTCCCACAGCCAAGTAGACATACTTTAGAGCAACCTGAGAATATTGGATTGGCCAAGTCATTTCTGATTAAACCTTGTTCATTATAATTTCATACAGCACAATTTAGCAAATATGACTTTTGCTTAATCGAGAACTTACTTGGTGAAGGAACACCCTATTTTAGCAACTACGTTAGAGATACTAGAGAACCAAAATAGAAGTTAAAAAACAAAAGTAAGCTCAGTTGATATAATTCAGTTGGAACTGTATAGAACAATGTATTTAAGTAGACTTTTGTTGTTTCGTATTGCTGCTGTTGCCTATTTGACTTAATTTCTATGAAGATGTTACATTAACAGAGATAACTATCTAACAGTTTTTAGTCACAGAATATTTACCTTGGAAACTGCATCAACCACTTCTTTATTATTCTCAGTTCCTCCAAAAGAATTAACCACGTTTCCAAAGATTATGGTCATTAGAGGCATACAGACCCCATTTCCAATAGCGCTGATTGTACCAACAGACATTAACAGGTAATCCAAGGAATCAGCAAAGGAGAAAAGCTTGTAATATGGTACTGTTTTGGTGGCATCCTCCTTGCTCTTGCTTGTATCTTGTGGGTTGTTTTGAGAGTCCTCCACTGCTGAGTGGCCGTTCGATGCTGTCGTGGCCTGCTCCTTGTTTACATTTCCATCCGCAGGATTTTCCTCAGCCATGTTTTTCGAAGCAATAATAATTTAGTGAAGTTTTCTATATTTGACAAGAAGCACCTCAGAGAACTAAATTGCAACTATATTGACAGTAAGCAACTCAAACTTGGATGATGAGTTCAGAGCTGCAAGAGAACATTTATGGATTGAATTAGCAACCAGACACATGTATTTTTTTTTTTTTTTGGGCACAAAATTGACAACACAAACCAAGGAACATATGCCAACTTAATCCAAATTGAATATAGAGTTGATCAGTAAGCAAAAGAAAAAAAAAAAAAAAAATCCACTTGTTATTCCAATTTTCTTCTTTTGTGATTGTGTGTGTTTGTGCACGTGTCAGCATTAGACAACCTGTTCCAGAAGATGAAAATAGCCCCATTGAAACAACACAGACAGGAAAAGAAAACAGAGGAAAAACAGAACAAGTAATAACTGCAGCAATTGGGAGAAGGGTTTGTTGCAATAAAATAAAAAATATCAAAACCAAACCAAAACTCAAGAAGCCTTACACAGCCGGCATGCAAAATGCGGGCAGTGAGAAATCACAGGGAAGGTATAATTCTTGTCAGTATTATATATGAACGAAAAGAATGGTCAGAATAAACTTTACAACCGCAGCAAACGATGCAAATTCTATCCTCCACAGACACAATTAAAATCTAAAATCAGGAATCAAACGAAGGAGAAAAGAGAAAGAAACCAAGTATACTGAAGCTTATAATTTTTAAACCAAGTTGAATTGAAAGAGATACCATTCTAGTCCTCCCTCTGCTCCTCTTCTTGCCTTGCTGCTTTGCCAGTGAACAAGTAGAGTTTCATTTTCATTTTTTTTTTTCTCTTTTGGCCTGTGAAAATATAGTGGGTAATCTAACTTGGGTTGTAGTCCAATATATAATTTCAGATCCTCTGCTTGCTGCTAGCAAATTGCGACGCAGCCGTCTTCTTCTGTTGTCCGGTGGTCAATTGTACTAGATCATCCTACCCCACCATCAAATTCGCTTCTTTTTTTGTAATAATGAAAAGTTTCAAGAAGAGTACTCAAAGATATAGAAATCATCTTAATTTTGGTCACGTAACAACACATATGTGACCCCAATGGGTCATAGCTTAGTGATAAGAACATTAAGCTCATTCATTTTCCGTAAAAAAGGTCACTTTATGAAGGGCTCCGATGCAAATATAACCGGTAACTACTATTTTTAATCACTTAAGTTACATATTTTATATGTACTAATTTGTAATTATTTATTTAATTATATGCTATGTAATCCGATCATGAGATTAGGTGTAAGGTACAAGCCATGATGCTAATGAGTAAAACAAGAAGCTGGTATTGGAATTGTATGATTAGAATAGAATACATGCGAATGAAAATAAGGAATAAGACAGAGGAATGGTAGCAAAACAGAAACTATGGCATGGAATATGACGTGAGGTGTGTATATTATTGATTGACGAGAAGTGATGCGCAAGCTTATGCAATAGAAGAACAATCTCAACCACTGCAATTTGGGTGGTCCAATGTGACTATTTTTTATATATATTATGCGTAACTTGGACTGTTGGAGATGTATATTAGTACATGTATGTTTAATAAAGAGTTGGCATAATTCTTTTTGGATAGTTTGGCCTCAATGTCTTAACAAAAGACAAAGAAGGAATCTGACATCAGTTGTGACAAAAGCAATCCTCAGGGGTGTCTTTTTTCTTCTGTTTTTAGTCCATGAACTTCTTGGAAGGATTTGGTGTCCTTGATCTTTGCTTATTGGCCCCACTTTTTCTCAATTGCAGTTTTATTGAAACGGACCATTGGCCAGCTCGGATGACATTTCCTTATGCACGTTTACTTATCATTTTTTGAGGAGATGAGGCCCCAGCCCCTTCAATGTTTAAAGATGTAAAACACATGAAATTGAATGAGCCCTAAATCAATTAAATTTCTAGTTTGTATTACAGCTAGGACTAATAATAAAATCTTGTTATTCAAGCTACTCAATAGATAAATACCAAATCATGAAGTGGGAAAATTTTATGTAAATCATTCTAAAGGGTGGATTTACTTGGAGGGCAAGCTGGGCTGTTGCCTGGCCCAAAATTTTCCATTTAAAAAAAAAAAAAAAAACTACGTATCTTTAGTAGCCCACATAAAATTAAAACAAATAAAAGAATGGTGTTGTTAAACAAACTTTAAAATTAATTGAGTACACCCTACTACTAGACTATTTATTGAATTACTAATTTACCTTAATATAAAATGGACAAAAGGATACATTGAATTGTAAAACAACTGTAATTTTAATAAGTACATCCTACTCACCATATTCAACCCAATCAAACATAAGTGAAAAAAGATTTTACATAGTGATCACCCAATTTCTTTGAACTTGATGTTTCTCGGTATCTACAAGCTACAAGTCATCATGGACAGTCTTGTTACTTCATTTTGACATCTATGTATATCTTAACATATGTGTCACACAACTAAGCATTAATGTTTTCTAAAATAACAAAGGTAATTTGAACACCCATATAGTGAATTGGAAATTTGAACACCCTGGTTCGATCGCTTTTGGATTTTCCTCCCATGCTGTTTGGTGGTTTGTCTCCCTGTGTTTGGGCCTCGTCTCCTTTGGTACCTACCATGTCTGCCCCCATTTCTGATGATGATACCTTGGTTTCTAGGGTAGACTTCATGGTTTCTAAGCGCCTGCGCATTGATCCCTATTCTGACAAGCCTATGGAGACTGGTCCAGTGGGGTCTCCTGGGAGCCTTCCTTAATGTGTAATGGGAGCATTCGTGGGCTTGGCATTTGGAGAATGTTTTTGTGCCTGATACTCGGTTTTCGGGTTAAGTGGTTGATGCCGGTTTTGTTATTGTTGCGTGGTGTTTTCTCAGTTATCCTCTCAGCACATCTTTGACTCTTCGCCTGTCTTAAAGACTATGGATTCATAGGAGGTTTCCTTGTCAGTGTTGGGATGATAGATGTGTCTTTGAGGACTTTCTTGTTTCTTTTTTTTCTTAGCATGTTCGTTGTACTTCGTCTCTTCTCTTGTGTTGCTCCCTGCAAACTTTTCTATTTCCAACGCCATTTGTTATTAAAGGTGGATAGAGCTGGTGTGCTTTGTGGTTTCTCTCTTTCTTTTTGGAGCTTTGGTGTGTTCTTTGTCAGCTGCTCTCACTCTCTTGTGGTTGTGTAAATGACTATGATTTTATAGGACTCTCTTTTGACAGTTAGGTTGTGTTGAAGTGTTTTTGTCGGAGGTCTTTGTGTCAGTGTTGTTTTGCTTTGCTTTTGTACTGGTCTAATGTGACTGTATCGAACTCTCTTGTTAGCCCACAACATGTGTGGTATTCTTTCTTTTCCTGGAGTTTGTTCCCTAAGAAGGTTTTAACAAGGTCACTGTATCGTATCGTTCTATGTATGCTATTTTGGTTGAAATTCATTTCTAAATATATATATATATATATATATCAAACATAAAATTGAAGTCGAGAAAGCATACACAGGGTTTGGTGGTCTGATAGTGTTCGGCAGCCAACTCTCGAACCGGTTTGGTGTTGTGTGATATAGTGTATTAGGGTGTACCAAGGGTATCTTTGGTAGTTAAATAAGGTGTAGGGTGTACTTAGATCATAGGGTGTACTTAGTTAATTATAGGGTTCGTTTAACAACACCCTAAAAGAAACCTTACATGTCTTTTGGCCAGTTGACTTATTCATATCTCTCCTCTTCTCTATCTTTTTATTTTTATTTTTTTTCATAACTCTTCTCTATGTGTTAGCTTCTTTTTGGTAACAAAAAGTTTAGGGGAAGGGGAGACTATCCCATCTCAGGACCAGGACATACCAAGGCAGGCCTCTTTGAGGACTTACAGACGGAGTCTTAGCCCCTTTTGGTTTTTACAAATTACTCATAAAAAAGGATTGTCGGCAACGGACCTCAAACCTAGGCCTGGATAGAGAACACAACGATACTTACCTACTCAACCAATCCTCGTTGGCTTTCTATTGGCTTCTTCAATTCTTCTAATTCTCTCCTATTTTCTTAACTTCTCCTCTTGGGTTTCTCCTAAATACATGTATGCATATTTAATTTTAGTTTTAATTTGAAATTGAATATTCTAGAGTCGAAATTAGGGGTTTGATTTTAGGAATTGTGTTGAGTTGAGTTTGATGTCTTTGTGGGTTAAATTTTAGATTTAAATAGTGTTATTTTCTTTGCATCGCATTTACTTGACTTTTATTTTGGTTTCTTTTTTGTTAAACTTTTATTTATGTGGAGATGCATTTGAGGGGTAAGGCTCATTATGTCCCCCTTGATTATGTGTATTTTTTAATATTTATTAATGAAATTAACTCGAGTTTAGTATGTAAGTTTTGCCCAGCGGACTTTCAAATCATGGATCCACCATTTATAATGAGTTTGATTCACAAGTGTTCTGTTGCTCCAAGTGAAACTTTCAAGAAAGAAATAATTTACCACTCTGCATAAAATTACATTACATACTTTCTTTTTCTTCGGATAAATTGAATATAAACACTATCTAAGATGAGGCACTTGCATGCAGTGCTACCAAAGAAGCATAAATGCCATCTTCGATGCTGATCAGAGTTTCATGCTTTCCTTTCTCTGCAATCACTCCATTTTTCACCACTGCGATTTTATCTGCACCCTTTATCGTGGATAACCGATGGGCAACCATGACTGTGGTTCGATCCACCATGATTCGGTCCAATGCATCTTGAACCACTCGTTCAGATTCAGCATCAAGAGCACTTGTGGCTTCATCTAGTAGTAGTATCTTTGGTGCCTTCATTATAGCTCGCGCAATTGCCAGCCTTTGCTTCTGTCCACCAGACAATTGAATTCCCCGCTCTCCTACTATTGTATCATAACCCTGCATTGTTTCCCGAACTTAACATGGTTAATCTTCAACGTTCCAATTATAATTTTGTGAATTTTCATCATCTCGTCCTTCTCATTTATGCAGCACCACGGCAATAGATTATATCATAGTATATGTGGCCAAAAAGAAATTGAAAATCTTGTTAATTCTGTAGTACTTACCTGTTGTAAACTACTGATGAACTTGTGAGCATTTGCCAATTCTGCAGCAGCTATAATTTCAGCCTCTGTTGCATTCCCTTCCTTTCCATATGCAATGTTGGCTCTGATAGTGTCATTAAACAATACAGGTTCCTGGCTCACCAGTCCCATTTGCTGTCTCAACCACTTGAGCTGTAGTTTTTGGATTTCAACTCCATCTAATGTAATTTGACCAGAATCAGGGTCATAAAATCTCTGCAACAGTGAGACAACTGTCGATTTCCCACTTCCACTTTCTCCAACCAAAGCAACTGTCTGATAACATATTTCAAATTGTAAGTCCCAGAAACTTGAATTAGAGTACTCAGGTCCAAAATCTTATGCATTGATTGAAATGACTAGAAGGACAAAACATGTCTAGTTACCTTGCCGTGATGAATGGTCAAGCAAAGATCCTGGAAGATTGGCACGTCAGGTCTAGTTGGATACTTGAAACTGACATGGTGAAGTTCAATTTCTCCCTTTACATTCTCTATAGTTGTTCCAGAGTCATCACTGGAATCTATTTTCGACTTCCGGTCAAGAATTGCAAATATGGAAGCAGCAGAGCTCTTTCCTTTACTTTGATTAGGGGCTAGGGAGCCTGACTGAGCAACTCCAACAGCTGTCATCGTGAGAGCACAGAAAACCTGCAAACCATGGAAGCAAAATGTAACATGGTCTGAATGGACTAACGAAGATTTAATTCTTAAGTAAAAAGTACTTATTGAGCGGAGTTCAGATCCTTCGCTTTGCTTGTGTTTTCTCTTCTATTTACCAACTTGAAGACTTGTAGCACAAGGTGGAAAAACTTACCCGGAAAACATCAGAAAATGTTGTCTTGCCTGCTGCGACAAGTCGGGCTCCAGCATAAAAACTGCAGGCATACACAGAGAAAAGAAAAAAGAATGATAGCCCAAAACCTATCCCACTGATTAACCCTTGTCTTATCCCTGTCTGAATAGGGCCTTCACATTTCTTCTGGTAC